ACTGTTAGAGAGCAGCAATCTGCTTGGGGCTTCCAGGAGAAAATGATCTACTGATGAAATTTTGCAGTTATTGTTCTTTTCTGAGCTTTTGCTTCCTCTCGCAAGTCTGAAATGCTGACCAAAGTACTCTGCCTGGGTGGCACACAGAATTCTCCTGATAATCAAAGGGGGAAAATTATACCTGTAGGTGGGCGTTCTTTTAAGCTCTTATTATCTTGTGGTAAGTTGCACCATTCAGATGTCACCATGAGTTAATACCGAATTACTAAATTTAGAAATGTTTTAGTAGTACACAGTAAGACTGAGAAATAAGGACTTTAGCCATCAAAAACTTCATGTGGGTGTTTTGAACAGAGTATTAGGGCAGCTTTCCACTAGTGGGCACTACCACCAGTAGTGGCAGTGAGTGTTTTTTTCCAGTATCCTGGGTAATATTGTGAAGGTCACTGCAGTGTTAAATGCTTTTTCTGACACCCAAGACAGCCTGTTCTGGAAGAAAGGCCCAGGTTTTGACTGTTAACTACAGGAAAAGGACTGTTGAGGAAAAGGACTGAGCAGAGATCTGCAGGACTAAATAATGCATACTGGAGCATTCCAGCTATCACAGTTAATACTCCTGCGTATACGTTCTCTGTAAGTACCAGTTACGGCTTTTATGAAAAGAAACATTAGTTAAAATGCTATTTCTTAGATTAGGTTTTGAAATGTGGTTTAGACCTTGAACTGTGGTATGTACTTTCAGATTAAGCATATTACTATGCTGTAGGAATAGATCTGTTCCCATGGCTGTTGCAGAGGGATAGCATTCATATATTCTGCCAGAGCTCCAGACCAGCTGGGTGTGTGCAAGGCCTGATCCTAAAGCCAGTACAGGGTATGTGTTCTGTACTGGTTAATACAAGTACATCCTCACGCCTATAAATCCTCCTAGCTTCTCTACCAGCTTCCTTGCAGTCAGGAGGCTGTTCAGCTGATGCATAAGTGTATTGTAAAGTTACAGACATGAATTTTGGCTTCTTATTAAAAGGCTGCCCATAAGACCCAGGCTATCCTGAAGAGTTTTAATGGGAAAAAAATGAGGTCAAAATACCAGTGCCAGAATGAGAACAGCTCTGAATCAATTAATAGAATAGAATTAAGAGCTATATTTATTTCTTTCCCCCACCCACTCCCGATTTACAGAGTAGCAGGAATACATTAAGAAAATGTCTTGGGGATATGTGCCACCTTCAGTCCTCTTCATCAGCACAGAGTAAACGAAGGCTTTTTGGAGACAGACCAAGTAGAATGGAGTAATATGCTGACTAAGGACCAAATATGTCCTGAAAGAGGCATGTTATCCTGTGAGTTTTGTGGATGCAAGTCTTCAGTTACCACTGATGTCTTGAAGTTAAATCCAAGAGAAGAGGCAGCGGAAGGACAAGGCTGGAAGCAGTGTGTCCTGTGAATTGGCTGGTTCAGCTTATAAACCACAGTCTAATCAACTGACTGATTTAGCTTACAAACTTAGAGATGAGTAAAAACTGCCCAACATCTCTTTAAGACACCATGTGGTTGAACAGTGCAATTGGTTTTGGAATTTCTGGAAATGTTCGTGAGGCAGTTAAAATCTAGGACATTCATCCCAAACTAGATGAGATCGAAAATATCTTCTGCTGTGAAAAAAAGCCCAAAATGGGAATGTAAACTGTGTTTTTATTCTCTCTCTGGAACGTTGAAAGTCGTGAATGTCTTTTAGTATGTCTCTTAACAGCAAAATACTTCTCCTTTGGAGATCTCTCAGAATATTATAAGTAATATCCATTTTTATGGGTCTAAAACTGTAAAGCTGGCAGTACTCTCATCACCATAGTGTAAAACTCAGCATGTAGATGCTATTTTAAACCAAGAAATTCCAGAGAATATATCAAGATGACAAGAAAGCACAATGTTGTGCTTCCTAAAGGTGTTCTGATACTATTCTGGTAATTACATATTGTTCATAATGTTACCATTTGCGTAGCCGAAAACAAAGACATAAGAAGTGAGCATTGCTAATCCATGAGATGATAAACCCAGATTCCTTCTGCTGAGTGGCACAGGTATGACTATGTGGACATAATCCATTAGAAACTGAGGCTGTGAGATTTGAACTCAGTGTAAGTAGATGGTTTGTGGTGGGTAAGCAGAAGCAATAGCTGACACTGTCAAGGGACTGGCATTTACTCTTTAAGGGAATTGTTAGAATGTGAAAAGTGACATGTTTGTAACAGGCATTTCCGAAGTTTACAATTTCTGTCAGTAACTGTCTTTTACAAAGGTTTCACTGCACTGCAGAATCCCAGCCCAACTGCATGATTTAGGTGCAGTGGTCTGTTAGGTATTTACCTGCTCATGGATGACCAAGTTTTAGTGTGTTACAGAATTTCTCGGTGTCTGTGTTGTGTGGTGAAGTTGTCTGTTAGCAGGAGCGTACTGAGTGCTTTTACTGATACTGCTTAGCTCCGCCTAGGGATCTTAAGTTCAAACTCTAAGATGTAACCATACTGCAAGATTTTACTTCTAGTGTGTCCTGTCGTTTTAGTAATTAAATCTCCTACCTTTGTGTCCATCTTGCCTATTGCAGTGGAATTAGGTTTTTTCTTAAGTTGTTTTTTTTTCTTCTTTTTTTTTGTGACTTCCTCATCCTTTTATTCCTAGCTGGAACTTCTTTGGATCTGGTTACCACTGTAATTGGTTTTTGCTTTTCTTAATTATGTGATGTATGTGTATCTGCCTGTTACGTGCATGAATGCAGTGAAGTGGAAACGTATCTGCTTTTGTCAGTATCTCCCAGTGGTAGGAATATCAGAGTTCTTTTAAATTGAATTTTCTAGTCTTTACTAAATGAAGGTAGCAGAATATATTCATTTACACTATTTAAACAGTTTTTTCATACTGGTTTTTCCTATGTCAAAGCTTTATAACATGAAAAGAAAAAGCTTCAAATTTCATCAAATAATTCATGTGGATCACTTTGAAAAAATTGGATGGATTTACTATATGTACTTTAGCTTTATTGTCATTAAAGCTGAAGGGGTTGAATTCTCTGTGCTTAATCCCAAGTGCTGCAAGCCTAGTAACTTAACTGGAGAAATTACTTAACCTAGTAATCCTTAACTAGAGAAATCTTTAAGTTTAAATGTATCAAAGACTTCTATTTTTCCTTTATTTGTGTCACAGCATGTTTGAGGCATAACGATAATGCAATATAGAGAATACCTCAGAATATGTAGGTAAACCAACCCTGACAGGATTTCTGAATTAAAGAACAAATATAAAAATATGTGCTTATAATTGGATGCATGTTTCTGTGTGTCAGTGTGTTATGAATTATAGTAATTGCATGTTCAGAAGAGTTCCTAGGAAATGACATACCCAGTTGGCTGCATGCATTGAACTTGCTTATTTAAATAAAAGCAAACTGACTCCACAGGGATGTTTTCCAGCACACACAGGTATGCTCTGTTCTATTCCCACGTGCCCATAATTGTTGCAGGTCACACTATCTGGATAAGAATTTCTTCTGGTGTGGTCTAGAGCAGCACCATTGCCTCTGCCTTCTGACCTGCTCCTTTTCCTCCTCCTGCTTTTCCCTGTCTTTGGACTGTGGTTTATGCCAGTACTGCTCTTCCTGGAGCAATGTTTTGAACCAAATCAGGGAGCTTCTCTGAATTGAACGGACAGATAGGACAAAAATCCAGGCACCCCCCAGCAAGGAGAAGGGGCAGAAGCAAATTAAAGCAGCACTTACTGAAAGAAATGAATGGAAAACAAAGATCTTTGTATAGGTTGCTCCCTTGAAATCCTGTTAATTCAAAATCCCTTTGAAAATCTGAGTAATAAAATTAGGCAGGACTATCTCAAACCAGTATTTTGTAACCATCTAATAGTCATTATTTTCTTTAATCCCTAAATATTAATTATTCTTGAATAACTTGTAATATTGTATATGTTTTCAGTTGGTTGAAATGCTTATGAAGGCTAATTGTGACAGTATTTTCTTGCTTACTGTGCATATGAAATAGATTTTAAAATACTTCACTTGCCTTATTAGTTAACAATAGCTTTCCTATTGTGAAGATATTCATGTTCATTGCTGATACACTTGCAAATCTACCTAGGAAGAGCTGTAATTTCTGGGGAGCTATATGATCTTCTGCAGATTACTTTTGCAAATGAGCACAGAAGTGATTTGATTTACAGCAAACAACTTGTCCAAATCCTTCAGTTCCACCTAGTCGTAACACGGCATTCCCGTGTGCTACACACAGGTTAGTTTTATATACCTGTGCTATTTTTGTGGTGTAGAATGATCCCCTGCTCAGTGTGAAGCCATTTGTGCTGTAAGCAATTCACTCTTTCAGTGTAACTTCGGGAGCACTGCAGCATTAAGCAGTAGGATTTTAGGGGTGTTAATTTAATCTTTTAAGTGTTGTTTGTGTGCCGCTTTCTGCGACAGCCTCTTTAAAGCAGTTGGTATATATCCTTCAAAAGAGCTGCTGTGATGAAAAGCAAACAACCATGAAGTGTCTGAAATGATTTTAATCTCTCTGAATTTGTCTGTTTAATGTAGGTAGAAATTTTAGAGTCAAAAAGAACTCCCTGGGAGTTCAAATTTTAACAAACAGGATAAAGATTTAGCTGATTAAAAATCATTGGAAAAGGGCGGACCCATCAACGTTTCATGTTCTAAATAAGTTTATTAACACCAAAATATTTTAAAACCTGCTGTGCTGCATGAGTCTCTGACTGTTCAGTAGTCAAACAATGCACACCCCTGCAATTACCTTCTCAAGATGCTTATTCTGTTGAACTGTGTAAGTAAGGATTTATAGACTTCTAATATTTCAGTCTTTCCAAAGTTTAACATTGCAGAAAGTATGAAACAAGTATGTGATATATTCAGTGTTACTTGGCAAATTCCTCTATGGGCTGGAAAAGTGTGTTTGATGCAAGATGTTCTCTTTGTTCCCAAGCAGGCCCTTCCGAAACATCAGAGGTGGATGAAAAAAATGTTCTTGCAAAAACTTATACAGGTAGATCTTTTAATTGTATTTTTCTCACATCTGTGTTGGAAATGGAATGTGTGAGTTTCACTTTTCAGGGATCTCCTTCCTTTATTTAAAGTAAGAGTTAGGGTATTGGAACTTAAACTCCAACAGAAAGGAAAATTACATTGCCTTAATTTTCAGGTGTCCCAGTAGAGACACATACAGAAAGGGAATCTCATGTCTTTCCTTTTTAAACTGGAAAAGAAACATCAGGTTGATCACTCTAAAATACTAGTAATTTGTGTGGAATATGTTTATCAGGAAATTCAGCCTGTTATGTAATTGATTATAAGGTTTAATAAACCTCTGCTTATGTATTATGACTACAACTTGATCATTCAGGTGTGTGTGAGGTGAACAGGCACATGCAGAAGAAAGTACATGGAAAGTCTGTGTTTAGGGGAAGAAATTCCTTACTGGACCTGAACAGTAGCTTAAATAAATTTGCCCCCAGACTGTACATTTATTTTAGCTTCTTACAGTTTGCATTAAAAATACCTGTTCGCTCATTTGCAAGCACTAAAAAATACTGATTTGTATTTCAACCCATGAATGTCTTTATGAAGTCAGAGTGCTCCTGCTCTTAAAAAGTGTTAAGATTCAGAAATTGAGCCTTCTGTATTTTATTTATGTGGGCATTATAGTTCTGGATTTTTTGCTTATGTAAATCCTTACTTTCAGTAGTTGATGTTAAAAGTTCGTTTTCTATTTTTATTATGGCATGTTTTGTACTTTGTATTTGTCTAAAGGAAGCCACCAGGGTTCCGATTGCAGAGAAGGAGCAGATGAGGAAATACCAGTAGAAGGTTAGAGATACAAAATGTTTTTTCATGAGAATAAATTAACATCATTGGATGGTTTTTTACAGAAATGTTTGAAAAGATGGCACCTTAAAGTTGTACATCTCCAAGTGTTCTCTTTCCCCATTTCCACAAGGCTGGCTTTGGTTTTGTTTTGTTTTGTTTTGCTTTTAATCTCCCAAATCATGCCACTATGCAGCTTATTATAAACAAGTTGTGATGGGATTTCTCATTCTTTTAAATCATAAGTTGTGAGGTGCTTGTCACCCAGCGTTTAGTGTTTTGACGTGACGTTGAAAGGACATCATTCTGCAGTTAGTTTCATTCTAAGCACCTGACTTTCAAACCTGAGTCATGAGTATTTAAGGCCAAGTTATGCTAGCAGCAGTACTCATTCTTGCAAATCCCATTAGTTTTGCTTTGAAGGTAAATATCACCATAGTTGAGGGTACCATTACATGAGATTTAAAAGCATTTCTCTTGATAAAGAAGAATAAAGTTCTTTGCTCTTGCTGAACTCTACTTATTTGAGAAAAAATAAGCCAGGTACTTTGTTTTTCTAAGTATAATGCCATGAGCTTTATGCCTGGCTGTGAAGAGAGCCTTAGGAAAGGGAAGTGTCTTACAAAATGACCGAGGCTCTGACTGTGCTTTGATTTTTGACTACATAGAACTTTACAGCTACAGATTGAGTGCCAGAATATAGTTTTGTTACGCACCCCTTTCTCAAATCCTTTTTTCTTTGCAAATTTCTGTAAGAGATATGCTGAAAGTTGCACTGTTTTTGCTGAGTAGGATAAACCTGTTGTTCATGAAGTTTGGTATTTATGAAAAAGTTTAAAAACCAAACACTTCCCTTTAGTGTTTAAACCAGTTGGGTTAGTATGACTTCAGAAGAAATGTCCCATCTGGGAGCTTTCTTCCAGAACTTCGATGCCATCTGCTTTGATATATTGACACATTCCTCTTAATTATGACTGTTTCTAAGGGATTTGTTACTGGACTAGATGGAAGATTTCATAGAAATGAAATTGTCATTTGCCAGTCCTTGTGGCTGTCCCTGAATTTCCAGAAGTTATATTTCTTCAGGTTTTTTTTTTTTACTTTTCTGATGCTCTCAAAAATTGTTCCAAGTAATCAGTTGATGTAATAGTCATTTTTATGACCATACTTTCCATTCATATCTACTAAAAGACCATTGTCTCCTAATTTTTCCTTTTGTTGTGCTTCTGATTTGCTGGTTATCCACCCTGCACTCACTCGCTGAGTTAGATCAAAACATCATGCTGTGTTTTCCATGGACTAGGTAATATATTAGACATAGTGCAAATATACTCCAGTTAAGGTGTCTCAGTAGATACTGCTGAATCTCTACTATACACAACATCATGTGAAGAGCCTTTGAAACAGAGATTCCTTCAGACTGGCTCCCAAAGTGATACCGTACTTCCAGCTTACAGAGATATGAAAGAATAAATTCATCAAAATGCACTAGCACAGCATCACTCTGCTTTGATAATTTAAACAGATACCTTCATACACTGCTACTTAGTTGTGAAATAGTTTCCAATACAATTAGCTTCATGTTTTCCAAACTTTGCTACTGCTAAGTGCAACTTGCTCTTTCTCCCATAGAGCATTGGTAGGGCTAATCCTTTTTGTGTTAGTGCAGACCGCCCCAATGAACACATTGTGATTATTAATTTCCCTCTCATTTTTCACTGTTGGCCTTGCAGCCTGTTATGGAAATCATTACAGTGCAACAGCTATTCATTAGTATAAATGGTAAAGAAATATATCATCTGTAAGGGCATGCAGCCTTTGTTTATATTTTCAGTAATCCTTGATAACAAAGAGAAAAATATCTCTAATTGTATTAATCCTATTAAGCCAAGAATAAGGAATTTCCTACTGCCATTAACACCAACTCTGCAGTGCTGCACATGCAGTTTAGCAAGTATAATCTCCACATCCTTACCCTTGTCTAGAGTTGCTTAAAAGCTTGTGGTAGAATATCTTTGCTCCTGTTTTTGTTGCGCATTGTGAATGTCAGGGGCTTCTTTGACAAGTGCTACTTTAAATACATAATCATGGAGGGTTTGGTTAAAAATCTTTTCTGTGTCCATCACTCAGTGGTCCTGTTTTTTCCACCCTTTAGATTCCTCCCAGCAAACCCCTTCAGAAACGAGTGAGAATCCTGAGGTCGAGGTCACCATTGAAGGTTAGTTCTCCAGTTCATTGATTTCAGTCCATTGAGCATTTTTATGTCCAAAAAATGTTCTAAAATGCCTGCATTACTTGGCACATATAAACAGGATTATGTGCCAGTGTTGACTGCAGTTTGGATTGTGCAATGCTTGGTAAACGTATCCAGTCCAGAAGTTTTATAAAACCACAATATACTGAAGCATACAGGATTTATTGGGCTGGTTTTGAAATGCATGAGAGATTTGCATCTTGCATGTACATTTCAAGCACTGGTAGTGAAGAATACTCATTATTTAACATGCATTAATTTAGATTTTAAAAAGATGTTACAACATCCATTCTGAAGAACCTGTTGCTTTTATAAACACACTGTAGTTAGGCAAAATTTCTAGTTAACTCTAGCTTCTGGGAAGAACTGTACCAAACTAGAAATGGTGTTACAAGTTGTGTAAGTGATGCTTCAATTTGTCTAATATCGATAAATATAAAAACCTTTCTCCTTACTACCTCATCCTTACATTCTCATCTAAATGGCACTAAAGCCACTAACCAGCATCCATGTTGTTTTCATGCTAGAATGTTGGTTAAAAGTCAGCAGTATTTCTTGTGCTTGTGAATTACATGTCCTCTAACTGCTTTAAAACACTTCTGAGACTGGCTTTTGCAGTGCTTGCTTCTGGACTGGGTAAGATTAAGACCAGCAAATTAGCAATTTAGAAATTAGGCAATGCATTCAAGGACAAAGTTGACACTTTGGCATTCCTTTCACCCTTTTATAATCCAGCAGTAAAATAATTCTTTAATTATTTTACTCTCCATAGAAAAGGTGATAAGAGAACAGTCATTAACTGCTGTGTGTATGTAAAGGCTTTTACCACAAAAGTAAAAATGCTCTGAGAAGAATATGATATAATAATAACAGAATACGGTACAACCGCATAGGTGTGAGAGATGTCAATATGTAATATTACTTGTTCTAAGCAAACTATACCCTATGACCTGGACAGATGTTATTCTATATGTGAAATTAATTTTCTTTATCTGCTTTAACCATTTCCTTTCTCTAAGGTTGCAGGTATAGGTAATTGGACAGCCTTAAAAATTCATTAACTGGTAGGGAAGATCGTGTTTTGGATTGGGAAGTGACTGGCTAAGTAGCAGCTCACTGAAAAATACCTGGGGTTTGCAGTTCCCCCCCTCTGTCTGTATGTGATTGAGGTAGGGCTGATGCATTAAATAAATTTCAATTATCTCAGTCAGTTTTTTACATTGGATTGAAACGTTTTAATGTATTTGAGCTCTTCAAGACAAAACTTGTCCACTGTCAGGACCTGTTAATGGAAGGATACTTCCAACTAGGTAAAAAAATGTAGTCTGTGTCTACATACTTTATTTCCTAATGTCTTTTGCTGTTGTGTAGTCATTTTATGATCATGAGATGTCCAGTGGTGTTTCAGAACACCATATTGTCTTCCCTGGGATGTACAGAAGCAGCTTTCCTTTTTGCTATTCCATGCTTTGTGCTGGCTCTCTTAATCAAGTTGTTCCTACTAGGCCAATAGCTTTCTGAAATTATTAACATGAGTAATTCATTGCAAAGTTGATGCCCTGATAAAGTACAGTTTAATGCTTGCATTAGAACTCCAAAATTCAAAGCAGTTCCAACCTTGCATGTGACTTCTCTGAACATTAAAGCAAAGATATTTTTATGTTTCTTTAAGATGATGATGATGACTACTTGCCCCCTAACAAGAGACCAAAGAACACTGAGTCACCTAATGAAGCTGCCAGTACTGGGAGAAGAAAAGTGAAAGAGTTCAATTTTGGTAAGATAAGAATTAAAAATTATTTTGTCCCTTTTATTTTATAAGAAGTTATTAAGTAATTTCATACTGCAGAAGTGAGACACATCAGTGCCAATACTCATTGAAGACCCCAAGGCTCTTCTCGGATGTATTGCAGCAGTATCATCATCATCCTAGGCTATCTCTGTTGTTTCTCATGATTCAAAGTAACCATCTAAATAGGCAATGCAAGTATTTTAATAAAAATAAGTCTTTATTTTTGTTTGCTGATTTTTTGAACAAAAAGATAAGACTGAATTCACTAGTGCACTGAATCAAGACACACCAGAGGTCAGGAACCTGTCTAGCTGCTCTTTAATACATGCTGTGAGCAAGATGTGCTGAGGGAGCCAGATTTGGGAAGGTAACCAAATGACTGGTATAGTGAGTAGCCTGCCTTGATGCCTGTGGACACACAAAGTTGGAGTCTTTCTGGTAATGTTCTTTCATGTTAGCTTTTGTAATGTTCTCACTGCAGAAATACATCCATATGCTGTAGTTATTCTGGTTAAAGACAATTCCCATGGGATTTGTTGCACTGTATACCTCTCCTTTGTTTCATGGTTTGGTTTGGTTTCTGGGCAGATAGCCCATGAATCTATGTACTTCCTCAAGGTTCTGCGCAATCAAGGATATGTCCTTTGGCACAGTGTTTGAGATGTTTATTAGGAATGCTGGGATTTGACTTCAATTGGAAAAGTCCCCATGGAACCTTTTCTGACATCTGTTTTGTGTGAAACATGTTATTTCACACTAATTCCACTGAAAATGAATAAAACATTGTTCAGAGCTCTATTATCTAAAGATCATTACTAGTAATAGGCAATTCCACATGTAGCATTAGCCAGTTTTGGTTGGGTCAGGGAAACATAATGGCAACATTAGTAGAGAAGATCGAGCAGTTAATACTGCAGAAGCTTTTGCAAGACTCTTTTCCCTTAGTAGAAAACAGCATCTAAGCTTGGCAAGCCAGCTTGAAGGGAATAAACAGTGGAGAGCAAAGAGATATGGAGAGCAAAGATAATTATTAAGATTATAAAAATTTGAGTTGAGCTTGCAGTGTTAAGGCTGCAGTTAAAGAACATCTCACAATTTACCTACTCCCTGTTCCTTCTGAATTCATGTGGTAGATAACCTCTCTGGGCTTTTTTCCAGGAAAATTTTGCTCTTAGCCACCTGCTGTGCTGTCAGATCACAGTTGTTTGTAGCTCCCAGGATTTTCAGACATCCTGGGCTTCCTAAGTTGTATTGAGGTTATTGCCCTTCATCACTCTTGGAGTTCACCTGCAGAAAGTGGTATTTCATAGTGGTGTTGCAAGTTCTGGGTAAAACAAAATGAATTTGAGAAGCTGTGGAGAAGCAAACTTCATTTACTGTAAAGTAAAAAAAGAGCGTCTGTTGGTAGTTGCAGTGTTGCTGTTTGGACATTTTGTAAGACCCCATACCTTTGTCTAATAAAGTCTAGTATTGGATAATTGGACAGGAGAAAGAAGGTGTTTAATTCTATCATGAATAGCTGTAAAATGACAAAGGCAAATGCACCCAGAGGACTAAAAAGGAAGGTAAAGATGCTTGAGATACAAAGCTATCTCATCTGATAAGGACTTGTGGTATTTACATAACATTGATGAGATCCAGATGTTCACTAGCTTTGAGTTGGAGACACTTCCTGTATGTCTTGATTGAGTCAGAGATCAGGTACCCCATGTGGCCCGAGAAACTGAAAAATGTGCAGTGCTCTTTGTTTTGTGGAAACAGGAGAACAAAGTGGAAAACTAAATTATTGTAACCCAGGGGAAGAATGAAAAGTGTCTGGTGAGATACTTGATAGAAATTCATCATCTTTGGAAAGAATTTCCAAAATATTTCTGACCCAACTATTTAAGGTTAAAAATATCTTTGCTGGAAGGAACTGACTTTGTCAGTAAAAATCTCTTCTGGCGATGGTTTTTGCTTTCTTAGACATGCTATTGAAAGCTCAGACACTTTGTTGTGTCTTGCAGTTGTAGAATCTTAGAATCATAGAATGGTTTGGGTTGGAAAGGGCCTTAAGATTATCTAGTTCCAACCCCCCCGCCATGGGCAGGACACATCACCCTAGACCGTGTTGTCCAAAGGTCTGTCCAACCTGGCCTTGAACACTGCCAGGGATGGAGCATGCACCACTTCTTAGGGCAATGTGTGCCAGTGCCTCACCACCCCCACAGTAAAGAACTTCTTCCTTGTGTCTAACCTGACCTTCCCCTGTTTAAGTTTGACCCTGTTACCCTTACACCCCTATCACTCCAGTCCGTGATGAAGAGTTCCCCTCCAGCATCCTTGTTAGCCCCCTTCAGATACCTGGAGCTGCTCTGAAGTCTCCACACAGCCTTCTCTTCTCCAGGCTGAACAGCCCTGACTTTCTCAGCCTGTCTTTGTACAGGAAGTGCTCCAGCTCTCGATCATCCTCATGGCTTCCTCTGGACTTGCTCGAGCAGCTCCATGTTCTTCTTACATTGAGAACACCAGAACTGCACACAGTACTCCAGGTGGGGTCTCATGAGAGCAAAATGGAAGGGCAGGATCGCCTCATTTGACCTGCTGGTCACACTGCTTTTGATGCAGCCCAGCACACGGGTGGTTTCTGGGCTGTGAGCACACACTGAAGTCGTGTTCAGTTTCTCATTGACTGACACACCCAAGTCCTTTTCCATAGGGCTGCTCTGAATCACTTCTCCACCCAACCTGTTGTGTGATACCATTTTAGTGGGAAAAAAAGTCCCCTTAGCTGCTGTCTCACTGTGACAGTGATGAAAAGTGTGCATAGTTTTTCCCTATTTTGACACACCATTGAACACAGGTTTTGCCAGCTGCACCATGCTTAGAATTGCTGTATGTTTTCCACAGAGTACTGTGGGGTATATCGATGGTAATAGGAATGTGCGTAGTACCTGAGCATCTTTTCATGTGTGCTGTACAAGTTGTCCCTACTGTAGTGAATGTTACCGGAGCATGTCCCCAGGGAATACAGAACGGGGTAAATTGAAGAGACTGTGGACAGCCTGGGGAAGTTTTCAGGATTGTTATTTAATTGGGATGGTGTTCCCATGTATGAGAAGGTGTGTATATATAGGAATTGAAGGAAGCCACCAGTTATCTTGGTGCTTGTGGGAAAACTGAACTGCTTTGCAGAGAGTGATTAACAAAACAGAGTATCAGCTTAGTTTTGGGTAGGTCTTCAACTTTCCTATGTGAACACAAAGTGTGTCACAAAAAAAATGTCTTTACAGTAATTGGTCTGAATCCAAGGAGTTAATAATGCTGACAATTTGATCAAAATTACGCCAGTTACCTGATAACCCCTCTGAATATTGAAATATCTCTGTAGTCTACCTTGACAATTTACTCATGAAATACAAAAGTAGCTAAAAAAAAACCCAAACTAGTGTGCTAATCAAAATGTGATTCAGTTTATGTGTTTTTTTTAATAACATTTTTCTGTGTATTCACCATTCCAAATAAACATGCCTGTGTTGTGATGTATTTGATTTTTAATCCCTGTAGTGTTGCCATTAGAGGGAGAGCAGCATGGAAGTAGTAGCTTGAAAAGAGCCACATGGAATATTTGGCCAGTGATCGTGGGGTTTGGTAATTGAGAAAAATGAAGCCTTGACAACTTAATGGCTCATGTAGGAACACTTGTGAGCATGCTAACAAGCAGAGGGAGACCAGGCTGTGTGGGAGCAGCTTCTCCTAAAACTGCAGCAACAGCTATTCAGAACAATATTATTTATATACTTTTACATGGTTGCTTTGTAATATGGTATGACATGCTTTTGGCAGTGCTCCCTCTGACGAAAACCAGGCTGACATTTCATAGAATCACAGAATCAACCAGGTTGGAAAAGACCTTTAAGATCATCGAGTCCAGCTGTTCCCCCAGCACTGCCAAGGCCATCACTAACCCATGGCATTGAGGGCCTCATCTGCATGGTTTGTGAACACTTCCAGGGATGGTGACTCCACCACTGCCCTAGGCAGCCTGTTCCAGTGCCTGATCGAAAGGGAGAAGAGATGGTTTGCTGAGTTTGTCCTGGAGTTTGATGAACTGAAGGTCTCAACTCTGAGACAGTTTACTTTGGGTTACAACCTAGTATTTCACAAGTGCCCTTCAAAACCCTTGACCCTGGGCTGTCCATGTGTGTTGACCAGCTCTGCTGAGGAAAGCAGGGTTTCCCCTTTAGGCCACTAAATTCTGACTCATATTTTCCAGACTCTTACTGGAAAGCTGATGCTAATCCATGTTCAAATCCATTGGTCAACAGAAAGCGCTGTCAGAGGTTGTACTGCAATCAGAACTTCATTTGGCTATACATCTGCAGAGGGGGAAATGTCATAGAAATGACACAGGAATAGAGAATATTGAGCTCAAATTGTTTTTATCATCTAAGAAGCTGTGCACTACAAAATAGCAGCAAAAAGGGTGGCAGAAGCAATTATGTAAATTTATCCACAAGGATGCTATTTCAAAATATAAACAGGTTAATTGGTGTAGGTGATATGCCAAGTGATTAGAATGAAGAGTTTGTGTGAATGCAAGGCAGGATGCCAAAACACCCTTTCCCCTCTAACCAAGGTCTTATTCTTGCCCGCATCTGAAGCATGCTGTCCTGTTTCATGATATCCATGAAATTACATTAGAAAAACATAAGCTTAAACATGAAAACCAAAGTTGTCTGGGTTGGTCTGAGAATGAATATTTAAACCCCTTTCGATACGGACTTGAAATTCAGTTCTCTGTGTTGTCTGATATAAGAATTTTTTGACAACTGGAAGTGTAACAGCTTGAATCGTGTCATTTTTTTAACCTCTGTAGCTACTTAGATTCAGGTGTTTGGTGTAAGAAAGAAGGTGTAAGTACACTTGCTTATTAACTCATTCTTCAAAGGCCAGCCAGCATCTGGTACCGTCTACAAAAGAGTTGTGCACTTTCCTAAAAGCATTGAGATAGTACAAAAGGCTCTGAAAACATGTGCTCTCTGTTGCAGGCAGAAAATTAGATGTTAAAATTCTGCTGTTTAATCCAGCTTTCTGTGGAACACACGATTGGATTTGGATAGCTTCTGTTCTGCAGCCTGTATCTGCTTTCAGAAATAGGATTTATGGGGATCTTTTGCAACATGAGGACTTAGAGAAATACTGGATTAAGGTAGAGGATTGCACGATGCCTCCTGACCCAGATAGTTATACATATTTGTGCTAAAACAACTCTGTGTACTGTCTCTAAGCTTTATCAAGCTTCAGTAATTGGGCTTTTCAGCACCCAGATTTAGATAATTATCATCACCAGCTGCAAGATGACTTTACCCCAATGGTAAGGATAGCTGCTGACTGAGCTCTCAAAGAGAAACCATTTTTGGAAGTTATTTTAGCCTGGTTTGTGGTTTTTTTTTAGACTTGATTTATCATCTGCACAGGTTTAGGAATTAAAGATTTTATTCTATAATTTTTCTTTCTGAATATATCGATATAATTTAAATTACAGCCTATAGTATACTCACAGAATCACAGAATGGTTTGGGTTGGAAGCTCACCCACTTCCAACTTTCCACTAGAGCAGGTTGTTCCAAGCCCTGGCCTTGAACACTGCCAGAGACGGGGCAGCCACAGCTTCTCTGGGCAAACTGGGCCAGAGCCTCAGCACCCTCACAGGCACCTGTGTGCAAGTGAGTAGTAAAAACACACTGCGTATTTCGGTTGGCGGTAACATCCATTTTACAGGAGATTCTCAGTTTGGTTTGTAGTCTGACATGTCCTCCTCTTTTCTTTTCCCCGCAGAGAAATGGAATGCGCGAATTACAGAGTTGAGAAAGCAAGTTGAAGAGCTGTTTGAGAAAAAATACGGTATGTGTTACACTCCCTTCCAAGCAATTGCCTCTACTCCTTTGCCACCTAAATCACGTGTCTTGTTGGTTCAGGAACACACAAGTGCTGACAGCACCAAAGGGTTAAATATTATCAGAAGACTTAAATCTGGGGAAAGAAGCTTTTTCAATGAGAAGAGCAATTTCAAAATTGGCACCTAAGTGAGAAACTTTATCTTTCAGTTGTGTGGGTTTCCTGGAGCTCCAGCATGCTCATGTCTTGGGCACCCGTATTTGAAGAGAGCTGCCTTTTGTCTCTGTATTTATACTGAGTTCTTAAGTGAAATGATCTTTTAAAACAGCTCTGGGGAGAGATTACTACTGATTGACTTTTTCTCTCTGGTTATGATTGATCTGCAGTGAAGCAACAATCATGTATTAATGGTTCTTAGAGAGAAAAACAAGCACACATCTTCGCCTTTGGAATTTATCTCTAGATGCTGCACCAGATGTATTTTGTGCCCACATATCACAGCCTGAAAGTGTATCATCAAAACTTTCAAAACAAATAGTGGTGCTCCTCTTCTGTGAAAAGTGGAATTGCTTTCATAATGGAACTTGTGATTTGGAGTTACTACATGTTTTGGGTGTGACTAGAGTCTGATATGTAAACAGCCCACTGAAAGCAAGTCACACCAAGTAAAAACAGTTTAGAATCTGATTCACAGTATTTTAATTGCTCTAGAAAGGAGCATCATCTGGGTAAATTGCTTTAATTTGGGTTTTGGTGTTTGCACATAACCAGCCTAAAACTCTCCTGTGGAGTCTGTTGAATACAGAGATATTCTTGACTCTCCATAGCAGGCCATATGGTCCTAAATTATCACCCTTTTCCCTGTGGATGGCAAAATTTCATTAATTCACAAACCAGTTCCATATCAGAATCTTTCTGTCTGTATGGGCATTCAATTTCCCATTTACTGAGATGAGTTATGGATATCCAGCATTCCTAGAATGCTGCTCAGATTTGGTTGCTTCTGTAGCTCCAAAGTGTTCTAGCAGTGTCAGTCGCTGTCATCCGTTGCAACTGACATGTATGAAAACAGATTTAGTTTTGTGTTTAGATGTATGCTAAATGGGATTACTTTTTAGTGTGGCTGATAAATATGTCTTAATTTATAAAAATAAAAGCTATATTCAAGAGGATTTCTATTGTAAAACATGTAAGGTTACAAATCTAAGAGTCCTCATTGCAATGCTGATCATGTTTTTAGGCTATCTGAAGAGTATTTGCTAAAACATCTGCTGATTTAATAGAAATAGTCTGATTTTTCACTTGTAGAAACGTAGTCGCTTATTTAAACAGACAGGATTTTTGTTACTCTGAAGCTGTTTTTACTTGATGTTGTGTAGTGATTTAGATGTCCTTGATCTTTTTTCCTGTGGCTGTGGTTCACCAGCTATCATTTCCATCTGAGGCTTGTCTGCTGAACTTGTTATGCTTCTCACCACTTGACACAGAAGCCTCCAGGGCTGAAAGTAGCTTTTTTCCCCCATTTCTTGGAAGAGGAATATGACTGCAAAAAAAATGTAATTTAATGAAGAACTGGTGCGATACACTGATACACAACAGCTCCTTCAGTGATTGTTCTGCAGCTCCTTTGACACTAGTTTGAACAGAGTTTCTTCAGTCTATTTGCAAAGAGTCATCTTCAGGTTCATGTCCATCTCTGTGTGTATGGATTCTCTCTCCAGTTTTGGCCATCTTATATTTGGCAGCTGAAACTCAGTCTAGTTGAAACACAGTTCTTAGAGTCTTCACAGACCTCTTAGAGTGTTATCAGAATATAAGACTTAGATGCATGCAGTATTTTCAAAGCTTCCCTGTTTTGTGATAAACATGCCTAGGAACTGTTCTGCTTCCAAGTGGTTGAAAGAGCATGTTACTCAAATGCCTTTAAAACCCAAAGCGTCTTACTGCTTTTAAGAATTTGTGAGTTAATACTAGCATTTTGTATATACCACTGTCAGAACCACTGACTGCTTTCACATTTCCTTAAACTGCTTGAAAAGGTGCCCTGTGGGTAGTTTTGCTTTCAGAAATGACGCAACATCACTGTACTCTAAAATCGGCCTTAGCTTTGCTGTTCTTTCTTCAAATAGTTTCTTGCATCTAATTGCTGGAGCAAACCAGAATGTACCAAACTTTGCAGACCAGTCAGATGGTAATAGAGAGTTCTTGTTGTATGGCCTGCGGAATTAACATACCCCTGTGAGCATAAAGAAAACAGTCCTCTTGGTATTTGCAAGCCATGATGCCTCTGTTTGCCAGCTTTATAGGTGTGTTGATATGAATGCAGTCCTTATAACCTGAAGAAATACACTGAAATTATTTTTCAGCTGTGGGCAAATCTTACTTGTTTTCATTTACTTCAAAGATTTCACTAGTAAGACCGTGCTTTAGAAGTGTACTGTTTATTTCATTAGTGATTCTTTGGCTTTGTAAAATATACCAAAGCTTTAGGAATTCACTCAAAAGAAGGCATGTGTGCCCCTCCTCCAAGGCATTAATGACTCTTGTAACCCAGTAGTAGTAATGAATAGTCATAATCAGAACTAATGAACTGAAACATGCTTGGTTTATAATTAAGTCCAGATAACTTCATCTGTCAAAACGTGCTGTTAAACAAAACCAAAATACTCTTAAACTTTGCTGTAGCAGGTGCAGTCTCTGTTATTAAATGTTTACAGGGTAAAGGGAAAAGCCAATCTGCATATGTAGGCAGGTCTGCAGTTTGTTTACTGTGAATTAGAGTAATTTTGCTATAAAACAAAACCAGCCCCCTTCAGTGAATGCTTGCATGTTTGAATGTGTTGAGGCGGTTGTTGCCTGTTGGTGGTTTTAATGTTTTTCAGAGTGATACCAAACAGATAATTTGAGCAGAACCACAAGCCAATCTAACGATTTTATTCTCCTTTTATCTTGAAGCACAAGCTATAAAAGCAAAAGGTCCTGTGTCTGTCCCATACCCACTCTTCCAGGCACATGTGGAAGACTTATACGTGGAAGGGCTGCCAGAAGGAATTCCCTTCAGGCGGCCATCCACCTACGGCATTCCCCGTCTTGAGAGGATACTTCTAGCAAAGGAGCGGATCCGGTTTGTGATTAAAAAGTAAGGAATTTTGTATTTGTGTCCCTGTATTACTCACTGTTTTCTGCTGAATCCACTCTGCTTCATTTTGTTTTCCCGAACTTCCAAACTTCAGTGGTGGCTGAGATCTAGACAGGTCTCTTCAATAGTACAGACTTCTTGGACAGATCTCTTTGTACTATTTTAATCATTGATACTTGTTGAAAGCCATTGACTTGGGGATGTTCTATGCTATCCGAGGATCCTGGCCTAAATTTTAGCTTGTGCCTTTATTTTTTTCTTGCTGGAATGCTGTATCAAGGTGTCTGTGGCTGTATCTGCATATAGGACGTCCCAGGGCTGGCTTGAGGACAAAATAGCTATTGGCCTGTGATTTACTTGGATCCATATCCTTATGTGTCTGGAGGTAGATTAGATAGTGTACATGAAGGGAGGGGACCTTAGATGTATGTAGAAACTGCTTGAGGGCTCCACAGCCTGCCATAGCAAGCCTGGCAGGGTATTGTCTGCCTTGATAGTGAGGCCATGAGATGCTTTGGACACCTTTCTTCTGCTTTTCCTCCTTTCTTCCCTTGGTGTCTTTTCTAAAAGAACCCTGACATTACTTTCTGCAAATGCAGGTGGGATTGGAAGGGAGCCTGGATGGAGCCTGAATTCAGGATATGCAGGGAGAGCTGCCAACACCTGTAGATGCTGAGTGCTGGATCTCAAAGTGCTCTGCAGCTCAGAGACCCAGTACTGTGGAAATGACTGTGGCAGACTGATCCACAGCTTTGGTCATGGGTGGTTATTTACCTTTGACAGTTTTGTGCTTCACTTCAGACAGATGTGATGTTTCACACCACAGAAGCTTCATTTACAGCTTAAATAGAGCTTCTGTGACTAACAGCTGACATTTTACTGTTGTTCAGTGCTGTAGCCAAGTGTTTTTCAAGTGAATAGCAATGTGCTGATTGCAGTGGTCAAGTTTATGTCTCTGCCTGCTGCCTTTAGCACAGATGCTAGCTTCTCAAACTTAGATGTGTATATTAACAGAAATGTCTGCTTTGAGATTTTCATTTTTTAAGGTTAAATTTTTGATTGGATCTTTGTTTCTAACGAAGTGCATCTCAGGCTTAAGAGATAGTTTTAATGTCATCTACATGTTAACATGAAATGTTATGACTCGAGTGTATATGGTAATGGGCATGAAAAATGTTTTTGTCAGTAGGGTTTCAACCAGCTCTAGAACACTTTGGTGTTAACTGGAATTTAATGTTGGGGGTCTTGATGTCCCCTGTTTTGTTTTAGTTTTCTGATCCTTCAGTGGTAACCTGAGGCTGTAACTACTGGTTTATCAAAGTGTATGTCACTGCTGAAGCATGTATCTTTCATCTTTTAGGCATGAGCTTTTGAATTCAACACAAGATGTATCATTGCACAGACGTGTTGCAGGAAATACGTGTGAGTTGTGCAAGTACAGTATGATTGCCTGTTACGTATCTTCATAGTGGTGTCTATAGTGGTCACCATTATAGTAGTTTCTACCATTTATTTTTACTAATAACACATTGCAAATAGTTCCTCTTGTTTTACATCTCCTTTAGCTACCAGGTGAAAGCAATATTCCTCTGACTGTACAAGCCAGTGCTGCTAACACTGTTATCAAATGATTTGATTCAGCTGGCCAGAAGAAAAAACAGTGAGCTAAGTGTTACTCTGAGATATAGAGAAAAAGCAAAGTTGATAGAGTTTACTGGCTAGAAAACTGTATGATGGAATAATTGCTTTATAAGGTACTTACCAAAATTAGATTTAACTGAAATGCAGTAATGAACATAGTGGCTACAGTAATATTTATTATTGTAGAATCTGACTTGCTTGGATCATGGGACTTTTTATTATTCCGTTTTCACACAGCATTGCAAAGAAAATGCATTCTAACCAGTTTTGCAGCAGATGCATGCTCTACAGTGGCAGCCATGAGCTCATTTCCCTTCAAGCTGAGAGAAAAAAGTTCAATATAGAAAGAAAAAACACAAGTTTTAAAATAATGGTGTCTTTGTATGGGCAATAGTTCGGAAATTACTTTTCTGGACTTGTTTTTTTTCTTCAGTTGTATCTACTGTCTCTTGGGCTTCAGGGTGGTTTTTAATTGTCCAATTAAACTAAGTTTTGAAAGCTTCTGTGCCTGAACCAATGGTAGCAGACAAATTGCTCCCAACCCCAAAATGCTAAGTGGCAACCTCAGCCTGGTTGAACTGTGAATTTTTACTAGCACCAGAGAAATTCTTGGTTCAGATAAGGATGCAAGCATATAAATGGTAGTATCTGCACTACTGCAGCACCATTATATTCTGTTATATACTGATAGTCTTCTGTTGTAAAAAGTGTATCAAAGACTGTACTTAAAGTGAACATTACAGATATGAATTATGTCATGAGGGTGTCACTTTAACATGTGTGTAGGAATTAAACTTTTCCTGCAGTCTAAGTTAACCTAGTGTCTTAATAACTTGCTGTTCCTTCGAGCACCAAATTTGACTACAAAAATAGTAGGTAGGCTGATGACTGAGTCATAAACCTAACTGTACTCTTACGTAGGTTTTAAAATTGGCCTTTTTCTCTGTTTTTGTTGTATTTAATAAGGTTATACTGAAGACAAAGCAGGTACACTATGTATCCCATAAAACCCCTGTAGCTAAGGGGGGTAACTCATTTTAATGGCACACTGTTATGAAGAGTCACTCTATGTTGCTTGCTTCACTAGCTTGTGATGATAGTATATTCACGTGTGCCCCCTGCATTATTTCTGAGAGGACATCTGTGAAAGCTGTTGATCCTATCATAGGGATAAGAAGACAGGAGCTGTCTGAGCCTCCTTTCCCTCAGTTTTCTTTTCTCCCTGTTTGGATTCCCTCTTTCCCAGTAGCTCTGCTGCTCCTTGTGTCTGCTACCATCTCAGGAGAGAGCTATGGAGCACCATCCCCTGTTCTCAGCAACTTGTGGCTCCAGGTCCAGTGTCCTGCTCTGTCCATAGCCCCTGCTAGCTTGTGTCGTGAGGAGAGGAGTGGGATGAGTACAGAAGCTGTATTTTGGTTGGCAGAAGGAAGATGATTTGCATTTGCATTCCTGTGGGAAGTAGGCTTGTCAGGAAGATTTTATAAAATGGCCTCAGCTCTGATGCCCTGAGAAGGCTGATACAGGCTCCAAGAAAAGCCAGTCAAGCAGTAATGCTTTGGTTCAGGAGTGGCTGGAGAAGTATAAGCTACGTTTTCCTAGTTCCAGGTTGAATCCATACTACTTCCACATAGTATTTTCTGTGTTATTGGGAAATGCAGGATGGTTGTGCATGCTATAAGCTGAACGACTGAAAGTACAACCAAAATGATAGGGAATGTTCTTTTTATTCTGTGTCACTCTCAAATACAGTGAAAGAGGAGTGGCTTGCCAAAATGACCAAACTGAGAAAGACGGTAGATCAACTCTTCTGTAAAAAGTTTGGTGAGTTCAGTATTACTGTTTTCTTTTCTGGCTTTGTATTTCTTGAAGGTTGCTTTCCTAATTTCCTTTGACCATCTACATGAAAGAGACCTTTGATCAGTGTTTTCAAATATTTACAATCCTGGCACTTGAGTGAAGAACAATGTATTTCTTTACTGCTTATGCAACCAGGTAAATTCATCATTTAAAAAAGTATGTCTTGTATTTACAGCTCTTCTCATTGCTCTCAATTCCATCCTGTTTGGTTAGTTTTTCCTTTGATGGGGAACAAAACAACCATTTACTTATTTATATCCATTAGTATTAGAACACTTCTGGGTGAATTTTCATGTTCTCTCCAATATAAAAAAAATAGTCAGCTTCAGAAGAGCTTGAATAAAATGTTGTGTCATGCTCTATAATAGATTAAAACCTTCAGATAAAAGCATTGCTTTATGCCCCAGTGAGGAACCTGGTAATCTTCAGTTAGCATTGGGCCTGCCCGATAGCAACATGATACAATAGGGTAGATTCTTATGGGTTTGATGTGCTGAGATTTGGACTCTCTTGTGTTTAGATATCCTACATTGTCCGTGGTTCTGAGATAATGATTACAACAGCCTGAAGAATCAGTAGCTTAGCTAGCTTTTAGTAAAGGTTGATGGCTGAACTGTCCGGTTATTGATGTATTTTGTTCTCAACAGCCGAGGCCTTGGGGAGCACTGAGCCTAAAGCTGTTCCATACCAGAAATTTGAGGCCCATCCTAATGACCTCTATGTCCAAGGGCTGCCAGATAACATCCCCTTTAGGAGTCCTTCCTGGTATGGAATCCCTCGCCTAGAAAAAATCATTCAAGCGGGCAACAGAATAAAGTTTGTGATCAAGAGGTACGTGTTTGGTTTAATGCATGAACATGTTTGTGGTTGGGGTTGTGTTGTTTTGGTTGTTTGGATTTTTATTTTAGCAAAGAGGCCCAGCAAAGCTTCCTTCGTGTCATCAAGCAGTTGACTTCATTAAGTCACGAAGCATTCAGTTTCTAGTTGGCAAATAGGCAGATTAAATATTCTGCATTATAAAGTGGCTATATGCAATTTGGGCAAGTCTTCCAAAATATCTTTGTAGTGTTCACAAGTGCGAAATGCATAATAGAAAAAAACAAACTTTTCCGTTCTTTTCAGGGTAGGTAATGGTATTTAGTTAATGTCAAGAATGGGCAGATTATTTGTTTTCTGGTTGCAGGCCAGAGCTTCTAAGTGTCTTTTCAACTGAAGTTATCCAAACCAAGTCAAACACCCCAGGTAAGACAGGTGCTGTCTCCAGGTGGGAATGGAAGGGTTTGGTGGGGAAACACATTTGGATCAATGTAACAGTTTTCAAGAAGTGTGGTGAGTGTGCTGACATGCTCTTTGTGAGGTCTGAAAAGAATAAATTGATCATTATGAGCATGGATGGCTTTTTGCCACAGATGTAGAGCAGAAGGAGACGGCAGCATTGGGGTTGGTTTAGGGTGGTTTTTTTGTGGGGTTTGTTGGTTGGTTTTGTTGCCAAAATCCTGATTGTCACCAGATTTGACAGTGAATCAGTAGCAGCATGTGTCAATGGTAGCAGTAAAAAAAGCAGCTAATAGAATCCTCTTTCTGAAAGAACTGATGCGCAAGGATCATGATTCTTAAAACTCAGACTGTTTGTGTGTTCAGAATGATGTTTCTTTTTTTACCCTTATTTCACTGTATTTTTCACTAACTTCTCAGTGAGCCTGGTATTACCAGGGCCCACAGAGCTTACCAGGGTCCAGGCAAACACAGCAAACGTTCTCTTGGGATAGAGCCCAGTGAAAACCATTTTTCCCAGGCAGCGGCTGAGGATCTTATTGAAGATGCAAACTTCATGTTGCTAAAGAATATTAGACCTTTTTTAAATCGAGGTATTACTCTGTTGCAAAGTCATAATCCTGTGCCCTCAATAGATAGTGTGTGAACAACATTTTAATTTCTTAAGGTACATCAGTCACTCTGATTCCTTTGTTGGTAAGACCACAACATGTGAACAGTATAAACACATGTGCGGGTGTTAAGCAGCTGTGAAATCTATCACATGAGTAGGACAGATTGCAAAAACTATTAATGCATCTTGCCTTGAAAAATCCTAGAAGCTAGAAATAAACTAGGTCAGGTAATTTGTTAGTCCTAAATATGATTTGGAAACAAAAAAAAATCGTGTATAGCTTCCTTCATGCGTGCTTTCCACAACTCTGGTTCTACCTCAGGAGCAGGTAATTGTTATTTGTGGGTTATGATGAAAAAAGTAATGAACTCTGATGCTGTTTGTAGAGAAGAAGTGCTTTTTATCGCTGCTAGTGTTCTTTGCTTTCTTCTCTGGCTAGTGCTCCTGTAAGTGGCTTTTATTTGCAATAGAAAACAGGAGTGAAGATGATTTTATTTTTTTTAATGCTAATCAAAATGTTTAGCAAAGCGCTCCTTAAATCCTCATCTTTTATTCTAAAGAGTGTTATTATGCACAATGATGAATTAATTCCAGTCTGTAAAAGCCACTAGAATAATTTCTTCCTGTGTTTGAAGGTTCTGAAGATCAAGTTCTGCTGCTTGGGCCAGTGACTGAAATACGTAACTACATTTAAACAGATTTTTCCATTATGTAGAAGGAATTACGTGTATCATTTAAGCTGTCATTAATAATCATTCTTCATTGTGTGGCCTTGTTGACTGTGATTGTGTTGATAGTTTTACAAGTTACTGTGTTAAAAGAAATGTGTTTGAATGTATGTCTTTATCAGAACTTGGTAATATTCTGACATATATCTGGTTTTCAGTGAAAGAAGATTGGAACATCAGGATCGCAAAACTAAGAGCGCAAGTAGAAGAGATATTTAATACGAAGTTTGGTAGGTTAAATGTTAAATGAACTGTTTCATAATTCTGCTGCATTTTAAAATTCTTCTGTAAAAAGAGTTTTAAATTTTACTTATTTAAACATCAGAAATGTACCAGGACAGATACGGAAATCTTGACTCCTCTTGCCTATTTTTTACTGACTCTTCCCTGTACCTGACATAAATGACTTTATAACAACATCCTAGGCCTAAGAAAGTTCTCAGAAGAAAATATTAGGCACTGCAGGCTAAGGTGTTACCTGTAATAAGATGAACTAAGTCCCCATTTGCAGATATTCTACAGAAAATAATAGAAAATCTGATTAAATATTTCTCTTGGGTTTGTTTTTTATTATCTGAGTAGCAGAGCTTCTGTAAGCCAAGCTTCTTAAAATCACTTGAAATAAAATACCACCTATTTGAATGTGTGAACTCTCATCAAATCTCTATTTACAGGCCAAGCTCTGGGGCTTTCAGAGGCAGTGAAAGTTCCCTATCCTGTATTTGAATCAAACTCTGAGTACTTGTACGTTGAAGGCTTGCCAGAAGGAATCCCCTTCCGGAGTCCCACGTGGTTTGGAATTCCACGCCTTCAAAGAATTGTCCGTGGGAGTGGCAAAATCAAATTTGTTGTTAAAAAGTACGTTTGTAATTCAGTTATTTTTACTCCTGATTTTGAAGTTATTTGATTTGCTTTAGGCTTTAAATGTTACCTAAATTCTGTTTCTGTGAAACAGAACTTTTTGCATGTAATTTATCTCATGAAAGGATATACTGTCCTTAATAAATTTATATAGATGTATAAATTGCACAATTCATGCCGGAAGGATCTGGCGAGTAAATGGTCTTGTTTCTGGAGGCTTTTTTCCCTTTTTTTCTCCTTTAAATAAGTCCAGAAGAACATTCCAGGGTATAAAATGTAGCTTAAAGTGATAAAACCTTTTGTGGTTTGTAATAGATGGAGAGTCACCCATGCTTCTAGCAGAATTCCATTTTAGAGAGCTGATGTTACGTAAATTGGAGCTCAGCTGAATTCCAAGAAATGTGTAGCATTTGGCTGTATGGTTTTTTGTGCGTGTGTAATTGATTAGATCATGTCCTGTTCAACTTTTAGGCCTGAGCTTGTCACCTCCTATTTGCCTCCAGGACTGGCTAGTAAAATAAACACTGAAGGTAAACAATTAAGTATTATTTGCTGCCATCAATTCACAAGTACTTATTTTCCTCTTCCTTAGCAGATTGAGGGGTCTTTCAAAAATGGGGGTGTTGCAAACAAAAGGCATTATTTAAAATGACCTAGCATAGTAGCCTCTAAACCTGCTGTTATCAGAGAAAGTTATGCAAAACAAATATAATCTACTTTTAGCTGGGATTATTCCAGTACAGAAAATGGAATTTACCTGATTTCAACAACTTTCATTTTGCTATTAATGGCCTAAACCATAAGTAATTTACAGCTGTGAACTGAAGGAAATAACAGTGACGTTTCGTAAGAGAAGAATAAAAAAGAAACTCTTTTAAGCTGTCATAAAAGATTCAGAAGTTAACAGTTTTGTTAATAAAAAGTTCCAAAGCTGTCCTTCACAACGAAGTCTTCTGAGTTAGTCAGTGAAAGTTGAGGTGTGGTACCTGCCTTTTTTGAGTGTACTAAGCTCCGTTTTTAAGGATGTGAGTGCCTCTGTGTTGTTCAGGATTTACAATGCAGACTGTACTTAGTACAGGTACAAGTGATTCTTCAGTCTGCTGGAGCTTGCAGAATCCACCTGCTTTTTCATTACTGGTGCAGGATTTCCATTCTAGAGGGTTTGTACATTACACCTTATATTATGTTGATTTCCAGCAATGAGTCCAAATTGTTCAAAAGGATCACAGAGTCCTGCGGGTAACTCAACTGTTCCAGAGATTGAAGTTACTGTTAATGAAGGTATGGAAGAAGTATCATTAAATATTCTTCTAATGTTCTTCTGTTCTTCTAATGTTTTCTGTTGTTCTCAGTTTTCAAAGCCCATAATTAACACCTCATATGAACCTCATGTGGCAAACACAGTTTTATTTTTCATTTTTGAATAATTGGGTAGATGATAGTTACGTAAAATGTTGGAGTTAGACAGCTTGCTTGGGCCTTTCATTCCAAGCAGAGATGTGGGACTGATTGAGTCCTAAGCAGAGAAATGACAGACATGATCAGTAGTGTCAGATGCTTAAATACAATCCTATAAGAACTTTTTGATGGGTTGTTTGTTCTACTCTTGATTCAGTTTTCTCTAGTAACCAAGTTTGATGTGTTGTTCTTTTCATATGATGGCTTGCTTGTGCTCTCTGCATGAATATCTGTAACACCCTTTTACAGGTCCTAATAAACCACAAACAACAGATGCTGGCACCAATTCTCAGACCAATGGGTCCAATATGACTTACAAGCCACGAAGGAAAGAGTTTTCTTTTGGTAAATATTGTGGGAATTAGCACACGTGCATTCTATTAATGTTGGTACTGAAATTTCTGGTGATTGCCTATAAGAGAGATTTTGAATTCATGTTTTGTTGTACACTTAGTGAATGACTGAAGTTCTTGTTTTCATGTAAATTCAGGTCTTTGTCATGTAGAATAATCTGCATCAGAAAAATCCTGGATGCTCTATGGAGAATGCTGTACAAATGCAGTGCTAGTCCACTAGCTCTTATTAATGTAGGTTCATAATCAGTCCCTTTCTGCTTCTGCTCTGTTGTTTCAGTGCTGCAGATCCTTGAAGGACTTTTCTGGTGCACAGCACCACCAGAGCACAGAAACCCAGCTGAGATCTGATGTTGTGCATGAACTTTAATAAGCTGATTTTGCACAATCACCATTATAGGCCTCTCCAGTTCTGGAAAATCAGTATAGGAAAAGCCAGACAGGACTAGAAGTCATATAGTTGTGTTGTTCTATTTATATAGAAGTTTGTTGTATTTGATTTATTTTATATGTGTGCATGCTTATTTTAGTCCTATGATCATAAAACACGAATCAAAGGAATTCTTTATTCCTGCTGAGTAGGAGTTTAAAATTAATGTAAGACACCGATTTGGTGCGACTCCTCCTTTTGGCATGGGCAGTATTCGTATTCAGAGTTATGTAGTTTTCTTAGCCTTGCTTGTTATTGTTAGAAATAGGCTTTTAAAAAACAAGAAGTCTACAACTGTTTAAACTTTCAGCTGAGTTTCTCATTTTGTAGACCGCTACAGACCACTTTTGCAGCCACAAGTAAACTGGTTTAGGAAATGCTGCTGATTTCTGTCAGAAACAACATGTCTAGCTAGATGGACACTTAATCTTACCCACTGAGGATGAAACTATGCTAGAGTTTGTGGTTCTCTAGAGAGAGGCATGTTTCTGGGCTGTGCCTCTGAGCATGTGAAGAACTTTCTGCCACTATTTTGGGTGCTGGTTCAGATTAATAGATTTTATGGTGCCTGATACTGTAAATTTGGATCACCTTTGGATTAATTTCAATTTTTTATCATATTTCCTTTATCTAGTAGCAGTATATTTCAAACCTTCAGGAAAATGAGGATTGATATGGATATAGGTTTAGACCACAACAGAATGTTTCAGTGCTGTTTGCAGAATGAAAGCCACTTTGCACATTTTACTGTCATAGTAAATAGGTTATCAAGCATAAAAATGTATTAAACATTTGTTAAAATGCTCGTCAAGGACTGATGCGTTGTGTGTGTGTTGATTTAATTCTTCTAATTTCTTCCTGGCAGAGGCGTGGAATGCCAAAATTACTGACTTAAAGCAGAAAGTCGAAAATCTTTTTAATGAAAAATGTGGTAAGTTTATTGATTCCTTTTTACTGAGATGTCTTTCTTATGAACAGGCAGTTAGATGTATGAGAGAGAAGTTCACATGTTTATTCCAAAGGTCCTGCAGTCCTTGCATACTGTAGGTAATTTCTTACCTAAGTTCATTCTCATGTAGTTTGCTTGCAATTCTGCCTCACATTTCCACTACTTACTTTATTTGGGTTTGGAATTTGAGAAATTGTAGTAATTGGATTACTGCTTCTTTAATGATCCAGAGGCATTGTGAATCCACATGCTGGAACATCTTTTTAAGCTTTCTTCATTCTGCTTATGAGTCGGGGCTTTGTATGACTTCAGCCTCAGCTTGACTTGAAATGTTATGGATGGTATCTGGAGAGACATGCTCTGGTTATCCCAGTGCTGCTTCTCATGCATGCTGTTTGAAAGCTAATCACTTTTGAAAGCATGGATTTCTCATTATTCTTCTGATTTGGGTTTTTTAGCTCAAGAGCACTAATCTCAAACGGCCTTTGTACTGCTCTCTAGAAGAGATAGGGACAGAATGCATTGCCCTTAAAGTGGAGTACAGATGGCATAGTCTTGTACACAGACCAAGCCAGTGGCATGAGCTGGGTGCAAATAATTCATTTTCAACTGCAAATTCTGATCAGATTTACTGCAACAGAATGAGTTATGTTTAAGACTGTTAATTTTATTCCTGCCTACTCATAGCTGTCACCAACAAAGGCAACGTGTGATGGTTTCACGTAATCTGTCATGTATGTGCCAACTATTACATACTGTTTCTACCTGAGGTTTTCCTTTTTATATACACATCAGTTATCTCACTGGTCACTTATTGCTCTGTTGTATTTCAGGTGAAGCTTTGGGGCTGACTGAACCGGTGCAGGTGCCATTTGCGTTGTTTGAATCGTCCCCGGAGGTTTTCTGTGTGGAAGGACTACCCGAGGGGGTGCCATTCCGCCGACCTTCTACTTTTGGAATTCCAAGACTAGAGAAGATCCTGAGAAACAAATCTAAGATAAAATTCATTATTAAAAAGTAAGACTCCCGTATGTCTTCAGTAATCCCTCCTATGAGAATTGAAATGTAGACCAAAAAATGAAATTGGGTTGCTGAGTTGCTAAATTACTCCATAAAATACACACTGCGATATCCTCAGTAAATGAGGAAATGGTCAGAAAGCTCTTGTAGAGGTGGAGTAAGATACAGTAAGTTCTTTGTTCTGAAAGTCACTCACAACCTGTTTTGGGAAGGAAGAGCAAGGCTAGATTCCTTGCTCTTCCATTTCATTTGTCAAATCACTGGTTTAGTTCCTGCTGTGTGGAGCAGTTAGGGATTACTAGTAAAACTTGCTGGCAGTTTTTATGAGCTGTGAGGTGGAGATTCATATATTGGGGGTTGTAAGAATTTACTTTTATTGTCTATAATAGGTTTAGATGTGCCAGTGGCAAGAGAAGTTGTGGAGCCTCTCAGCCATTGTATTCTTGGCTGTTTGGGTGAGAGGATATCCCTTAGTTCCTGTCTTTAATAAATTGCTATTAGAAAGTTGCATTTTCCTTAATGCTGATAAATGTAATTGTATTCTTCTACATGAAATGTTCAATCTGTTTGCAGGCCTGAGATGCTTGAGGCAGCTGTTAAGGAAATTTCTGCTAGAAGCCCCCAAAGTGAGTTCTGCAACTGCTTAATGTTCTAGATAACTGTCTTTTTCAAGGATTCACTACGAATCAGGAGAGCTGCATGGTGTTAACTAATTCCTGAAAGATTCATTCTGCATTGTGGGTTGGTTTATTTTGTTTGGTTTGGTTTTAAGATGAGCGAAGCACCAGTTACAGTTTAAATGCAGCTTTAGCAAGAGAGTATTACATTTTTTGAAGTTGCTCACAATGATCATGCTTCTAATATATTCTTTACTCCATTTTTTGAAAATGTAACAAATAATGTGTGATCCACAGAAGTAATTCAGGTCTAGAGAGAAATTATTTGTTTCTACTATGTAGGTCATCTAAATGACAAGTGCTCCACAGATAGGCATGCGGATAGCGAGTCGGAAATTGTGTCAGGCAGGAATTGTGTCAGGCAGGTCATGGGTTAAAAGTTTTCAATCATGTTTTTATCTGTTCTTATGGGTTGTCAAAACTCTGCTGAGTTACTTGAGCTATGCTAGCTTGTGCCATTGGACAGTGGGGCTCACAAACATAACTGTAAGGGATTTCTCTTCTGAATGCACACAAGGAACACATGGGTCAGTAGGTGTTACTGAATTAACTGCAAGTGCTGTGATTTTTCTGTTAATAAGAATACCAAAATACATGCTCCACATACTTTTCCTTAACAGTCTTTTTAGAAAACCAGATAGGTAAAGATGAACATTTTCTTTAATCTAGCTCTTCCTCCTTCTGGGTTGGAAAGACAGAGTAGTGTTTGTACCTTCAATAAGTATGTCTCATGGGAAGCTGCTCCCATTTTGAAAATGGAACTGGGTCCACTTTGAAAACTTGGGAAACATTTGTCATTTTGCAATATTTTTTTACATCTGACATTCAAGATTTTGGGCTCTCTACAAATGTTTTTTTACATTAACTCCCTTACTTTTAGGTAAAAATAATTCATCAAATAAACCCGATACAGCAAGCACCCCAACAAACACAGTGGCGAACACAGCAGTGAGCACAGCTGCAGGTGTTGAAGATCTTAACATCATTCAAGTAACTATACCAGGTTTGTATACTGACTGATCTCACATCATACTTTGTGCATATATTCTTCATAACACTTGTTTAGTCTGATGGAGTTTTCCTACAGTCAAGCTGATTCGCTGAAATACAAATACAGTAAACAATGAGCCCAACTTAGCATTCTGTTTTTACTATGACATCTCTAGAATATTCTTGGTCCAGCCCCTAGTTAAGAAGTATCCACATTTTTCCCTTTTTTTTTTTAATGGCATAAAGTAAATATGGACTTGCAGTTTTCTGGCAACTTCAGGAGAGCTACTCAGACTGAACTGAGTAACCATCCAGACTCAACTGCTTTGTCTTAACACTGATTGCTGCTTTCTCAGACATATTTCACTTTCAACGGTGAGAAACGTTGCATGTTGTGAGCATCTACTGAATAGTCGCTTTGCTTTACCTTTCCCCACCATTATATGTATTCTAAGAAAATAAAATGTAATTTGTAGGTATAGATTAAGTTTACAAAATTATCTCTAGACAGCAAACCTACGTTTATCCGTGGCAGTGTTTAAGGCCAGGTTGGATGCGGCTTGGAGCAACCTGGTGTAATGGAAGGTATCCCTGCCCGTGGCAGTGGAGTTTGGAACTGAATGAATTTTAAGGTCCTTTCCAACCCAAACCAGTCTGGGATTCTGTGATTTATTATCAGCCACCTATTTTTGTGTATTTCTACAATTCTGTGTTGCTGCTAAAGCTAGGGAAGAAGTCGGTGCCTGTTTTTGAAGCATTTGGGTAAATCTGCTTTGAGTAAACACACAATGGTACACAAGCTTCAGGGGAAAAATAAAATCTGCTTAATTCTGGTGCTATTCTAACAATTTCTTCCAGATGATGAAAATGAGCGACTGTCAAAAGTGGAAAGGGCCAGACAATTGAGAGAGCAAGTCGGTGATCTTTTTAGCCGGAAGTTTGGTAATTGCTTCTTACTCCCCATTTTTACGTAGGTGTAAATGCAATGAATGTTTCTCATGTTGAAGTTACTGAATCATCACAGTGGATGAAATAGCTGATCATTAAAATAAACAAATTTGAGAACTGTATATGAATGTTTTCCTTTGACTTCAAAAAGAACCTTTTATAAGTGAAGTAGGTTGTTTGGTGGTTTAAACAAGCAATCTTAAGAGTATGGATTTCGTTCTGTTCCTCCCCTCCTTTTCCTGCTTGTTTCTGTGTAAACATGGATGAAATATTATTTTGCTGGCAATCCATGAGTCATCTTAGTGCTTCATCATCCTGACCTCTTAATACTTGGGACTGGAATAATTTTAAATATGCAACGTAATCTTTTTGCTGTGTATAGTTTTCATATTTGCGTTGTAGAGGAATAGTGACCTGGATTTCTTCATCTGAAATTCCTTTGCTAATACGGTTAAGTTGCTTTTTGTGGCAGGAAACGCTTTGTTTTCCTTCATGTAGCTATTGCTTTGCATATCCTGTTCTATACCTTTTTTTAGTAAAAGAAGAATCTGTGTTCTTTCTAAGGTGAGCTTTCAGAGTTGGGTTCTAGCTAACACTCTCATGGTAATGTTCATGAGTGTAATTCGGGTGATTCACTGTCATGTGACCTCTCAGTTTCTGATCTAATAGAAGGCTTGGGTTTGCATTCAGGTCCTTAATTGTCTGAGGATTTTTCCTTCAATGTAATTATAAATACGTGGACTTGAAAATAAACATGATTTTCTCATGTAGGTGAAGCCATTGGTATGAATTTTCCTGTGAAAGTCCCATACAGAAAAATCACCACCAACCCTGGCTGTGTGGTGGTGAATGGGCTGCCTCCTGGTGTGGCATTTAGAGCTCCCAGTTACCTGGAAATCAGCTCCATGAGGAAGATTTTGGAATCCGCAGAGTTTATCAAATTTACTGTCGTTCGGTATGTAGTTGCTATCGATGAGATTGTTCACATGTTGCAAGAACTGCCCAATTCAGTTAAGTAGATCTATTCAGTCTAGCTTGAATAAATTGAGATTTGAAAGAATAGAAGTTGTATCAAGTCAAACAAAGCCCAGGTGTTCATTGCGTGAATGAAGCTGGTAACTCTTTGAAGGATACTTCCAATTTAGTATGACAAAGGGCATGTTATTAATACTGCCTAGTACAGCAAACTGTCTTTTGAGTTGAAATCTATTCATATTATATATCTGATAGGAGTCCTAAAGTGCTGTGGGCCTTGCTCTCCGATTTATCAGATCAAGTTTTGAGACAAGTCCAGAGCTTGTTGGCTCTTAACAGTAAATAGTATGTTTGTAGTAGTATTACCATTATTATTTTTTAAATATTTCAGATAAGAATCCTGAGTTAAAATAAGCCCTTTGATAAGGGCTTTTTTCCCTACCAAATGGGTTTATCTACAATATTTAAAAATACAGTATTACCCAATTACATGATAAATTAATTTTGTCTTTGTATATTTCCATAGACACGTATGCACGCGTATATATATGAAGTATATTTGTATGCATGAAGCAGAATAGATGAAACTTTGGAAGCATGCTAAGAAGGAGTTCAGGAATTGAAATGAAACATCAGTTTATGTAACTTCTCAAATCACAGACTGCTTCACAGGAGTCCAAAAGTTTCAGTTTCTGTGTAAAGAGATTGACATTTCTTCAGTGTATTTTACGAAGGGGTCTGAATTCTCAACCCTTGATCATGAAGCATTTCAATTGAAAGGACTCTTGCTCGATACCTTTTGTTTAATTGAGTTACATGCTGGTGAACAAGCCACAATGCCCAAGAGTTGCTGAGATAGTTCCCTCTGGTTTGTTTGACTTCCTGTTCGTTTTTAGCATGATCTGTTACCGAAGGCGAGGGTGCTTTGGCAGGGAGACCCCATGCAGTGTATTTTAGAATCAGTAATATTTTTTTCATTATTTTTCCTTTTTTACAGACCATTTCCAGGACTTGTGATTAACAATCGTAAGTATTTGAGATGCTGATGGCAAATGTATTTTTGTAACTTACCCAGATTTGTTTTCTACGTCTTGGCTTGGTGGTTAAGTTCCGTGTATAGCTCTTGTCTGCGTCTGTCTCATTAAGCTTTCCTGACTAAACCTGCATGTGCAATTAACTTGAGAGCAGTGTGCTAAATTTACAGAACAGCATAATGTTCCGTATGCAGATGAAAATGCAAGACACTGATTTGTGTATTTTTCAGCTGCAGAGTCCCAAAGAGCTTTAGGACCCTGACTGAGCAACAGACTTACAGGGGACTTGCCTACATTTTAGGTTCGGATCCATCACAGTAGCAGTTAATAGGCAAGAACTTTCCAATAGCTGCACAACCATGTTCCAGTGAAAAACTCTGCATTGTGCTGAAACTGCAGCAGTTTAGAGGGGCAGAGTGGCAAATTTGGCCCTGTTAATGAAATTGTTTGGGGGCTTCAAATATAAAAAGGTTTTGGTATTTTCAGTTGCCTAAAATAATTGTGACCAGGCTTTCTAGATCTTTTTTAAGGAAAAAAAGCCAAGCTGCAAAACACTGTTATTAGTGTCATGTTCTTGTGTCATGTTCTGTCTGAGCCAACGTCAGCTTTGAAATTCAAAGGCTAAATAACCTACTGTCATTAATTTGGCCTTACCCAGCCTGAGCCTTAGTGACCCAGCATTCAGTCATTTGCATTCAGCCACCAGTATATTCCAGTTAACGTGCTGAGGTCTATGAACTGCAAGTATGACGTGTTCTCAGGAGCTAGTAACTCACACCAGCCTGCTCGCCCATCCTAGGCACGCCTTCTTAGGGGGGGAAGAGGGAACCTTCCAGGCAGATTATTGTGTAATAGCATTTCCAGAAAACTGAACTGGAAAGAATCTGTTAAACTGTTCAGCATAACTGTCAGCTTGTTTTGGGACTGAAGTAGCTAATACTCTGAGTAAGAGCAACATAAATAACTGATCACCTACCATCACTGGGGAAGCAGATTGGTCATTGAACACACGGGTTTGTGCATTATCCATGTTCATGAATGATGATCAAAATGAACTGATATTGATAGACGCCAAGGTGAATGATTGAAAGGCTCTGAGCCTACTGCTTATAGGTATGATGCTTTTATCTTCTGAAGAAGAACATGTGGGAACTTCAAAGAAATTTTTGGTGCTTGCAGGCAAGATAGGGAATGGCTTTTGTGTAACAAAAACTATTGACCTGCAGCTCAATCACAAGTGTTAGCAACCTGTTCATGCGACAAGTTTCAGGATTTGCATATTCAAGAAGTAAGACTGTCCTTGTGCTACATGTGGCCCATTTTCATTGTGAAGTTAAACAGTGGTTATGTCTAATCTTAGAGCTGATGGAAAAAGCTGAAGCAGAAGCACCACCAGCAGCACCACCAGCACCACCAGCAGCACCAGTACTACCAGGTGATGCAGAGTGTGATGCATGTCCTGGCAGGAGGGGTAGGCTATAGAGTTCTGGATCTTATTGGCAGATGATATTAGTAGTCATGTCCTGGCTATGCGCTGCTTGTGATGAGACATTTCATTTTGACAGATGGTGTGCAATGGTGACTTTTATAGCTATTAAATATTAATAACTTAATAGAAAAAGCCGTTGCTTCCTTCAGGCTGTATCATTGGCGTGTTCCTTAATTTAATTTTGCAGATGATGAGTGAGCTGAAAAGGATGAGTATGGGCAATTTATAAAGCCAATTCAGTATCCATTTATTGAAGGTCTGCTTAACTCAAAGTGTATTTATGTGTCTGCACTAGATAGTTGTTCACCCAAGTGAGGTTTGCTCGTGTAACATAAGAACATAAGAACCTCAGACTGGGTCGTGATGGAACTTGTGCTCACTGTGCAGTTCTGTGACCCCTGTTAGGCTGTGTCTCGACTGCACATGCATCATTATCCTAGTGTGGATGGAGAACTCAGCTTTGTGCTGTGAATAGCTAGAGTAAATGTGATTGAGCAACTTCCTGTTGACCCTGTATAGTTTCTAAATGTTCACAGACCTTTCAAAAATATCTATTGCAAATTGCTGTAGTGCAGGAAAGGCTTTTGCAATTGAGTGAATAAAGTGTTACTCAAAGAAAATGGGAACCTGAAAGCAAGCATTCAATAAGCATTTTAAGACTAAGGGACACTTGTATGGTGAAAAGAATTATAAAGGAAATTGCTAGCTCCCTTCTTTACATTTGGAGGTAATGGAAGGGATGAAAACAGCTGCTTATGGTCAGTGGACTTGCTGTAGTCTATCTGTCCTTAACACACCCACAGTGATAAAAAGGTTAAATGGCTTTCCCATCACCTGCTCATCTATAACCCATCAACACAGATAATGGAAAAATCATTATGAAATTAAAACACATTTATCTCAAAGATATTTAAGTCAGATCATAACAGAAAGAAATGAGGCACCTTCAGGGAAAACCTAATTTCTAAGATATTTGATTCATGTTGTTTAAACTATATTTGTATTCATTTGACTGTATTTTTTGTTTTTCATTTAAGAGCCAGCTGACCCAAGCCAAATGGAAGTGTCTGTAAGAGGTAAGTGTTTGTCTTCAGTTATTGACAAATATGTCAGGTGATCTTGAACAAAGGTGTGTATTTTTCTTTAAAGGAGCCAGGTCAACAGAAACAGGACTTTTATTGGTTCCTAGGACATTTTTTCATCTGATTTAATATCCTGCTGCATCCTGTGAAAACTACTGCAGCAGAAGTTACTATTTGCATAATTTTATAGAGGAGTTTTAAGAATTGTTGTTCTCTTCTGGTGCGTCATGACTATATATAAGCTTTGATGGATTGTTCATATCCTGAGCATTGCATCTAGTTATTCAGCACAGTAGTTTCCACAATTTGTGTAAGTGAATGATTACCATCATCAGGAACTTTGAATGTCATGTTGGCCTGAATATACTGCGTTGGGGAGGGGGACTGTTGTTTTTCTTCTGGAGCTTAACCTCTGAAAAAATCCAAGCACAACCAGAATTACTGTTGCACACTCAGCTCCAGGTTCACTCCGAGTGTTGTGAGTACATCTTTCTCAGAGTGTGGACCAATTTTACTGCAGCAATCGAGGCAAAAAGTTGGAGTCACTAAAGAGCTGAGCTGCAGATTTTAACCTCACAGTTGGAACATCAGAAGTCTTTATAATGCCAAAACTGTGTGGGATCACTGAAATTGTTAGATGAAGGGAATACCCAGAATACCTTCATGTGGAGGAAATCTAGCTATGGACCATCAAAGTGACGGTTTTGGAGAAACAGATAAGCAGGTTTTGAGTTTCTCATCCAAAACTGGATTCAGACCCAGTAACTAGAGGAACGAGCTTGAGAAAAAGCATCCACTTGCTAAAGAACTCAAAATCACTTCAGAACTAGGCTGGAAGGTATAAAATGATCATGTGGTGGAATGGCTTGGCTTTGTAGTGATGAATTACCCTAGCCCCAAACCTTCCAAACAGCTTCAGTTGAAAACCAATTTCCTTCCAACATCATACTCTCTGTTTATAAAAAGAACAAAATCAGGCCCCAGGTTGTATAGACACTGCTGTACCAGCACAAGATTTCTTTGATTTACCTCCAAGCATCCTGTGAACAAGAAAAAGCAAAGATTTTTGTAATGAAGCCTTGTGGAAATGAAAAAAAAATACCAAAAGATGATGAATGCTTTAGCCAACAAGATAAAGTTTCCTTCCCTCTTTGGTTTTTTTAAACATACCATAATGCAATATGTGATAGCATGCAGTGAAGAAGAAAAAGTAGCTAACGTCAAAAAACTGCTTTGGACAGATTGAAATACAGTAATGCAAAATCTGTGTCTAGTTGAGAAGGAGTCCTACAGATGAAAAAGAAATCTGGGAAATAGTGCTGTAAGAACAGGAGTTAGTGCTGGGAATGTTAATGTAATAACCCAAAAGGCATGACTTGAGCTCAAGTAGGAGCCGATGTTGTGAGCTAGCTCTGGAAGACAGCGTCTTAAATAACATGAAATGGTGCTCTTGCCTGATGTATTTGAAGTAATGGGCTACAGACTCACCTGTGAGTGTTTGAAAAGCTTCACCCAGCATCACATATACAATGAGTTGTTGGAAGGAAAGAAGGAAGGAATGATGGTGGGGACTGACAGACAGGAGGGAGAAGGACTGAAGAGCAGGATGCAGACCAAACCAGTGATATGACTTTTTTCCTTGCAGTCCTTTTATCAAGTACTTTTCCAGTTTCATACACTTCTAACACTGGTTTTAATTTTAGCTCTTTAAAAACTAGAGTTCTTTAAGGTCCCAGGCTGCTTTACATTGAAATGAATGTCGTAATTTCTGCAGAATCAGACTGTTGTGAATACATTTTCATTTATCCTCAATAGTTTAAAAGGATAAATCAATGCTTTTCATACTTTTCATGTTTTTTTTTACTTAAGTACAACAGTAACAATGGAATTGGTTGGGAAGTTTCCTTTTTTCTTTATTCATTACTGCTTTTTTCAACAGAAATTACAGAAACAGAAGAAAATCCTCAAATAAAGCAAGAGCCAGACCCAACGTGGTAGACCTCATCAGGGCTGGGTAAGAGAATTTAGTCTATCTTGAAGTCAATACCTTTTAAGGTAGGATGTTTTTTGTCATTTGGGGTATCAGAAGAGGTCTGAGATACAGGACTGAATGCCAAAAGGTACCAATTCTTATAAATTATGTCATTTGTCTCAGTTCTCAGCTATAAAATGGAGGATGTTTTCAGTACCTTACCCAAATGCCATGTAAAACACACTGCTCAGATTTGGGAGGCAGGCAGCCCTAGCAAAATGTGGCCTATAAGGAAAAATGGGTGATGGTAATTACATTGCTCAGAGGCAGAATAAATGAAGGCTTAGGGAATTAGTGTTTATGAAGAGCTCTGACACAGTTATGTGAAAGAGCAGCATTATTGTTGGTATTTCCAATGTATTTCCAAACCGTAACTGAGCAGGAAAGAGAAAAACTGCACTCTAATTGCAGTGTTGTCTAAGCTTGGGACACTTGGTAAGGCTATTAGCTGTGGTGACAAACCAGCTTCTTTAAAAGGTTTTTTTTTCTTTTCCATTAACTTTTATGAAAAGCTTAGTTTAATTTACAATGCAGAAATGTCCAAAATTTTTTGTTACACTATTTTAAACTCCACATATTCCTAAAACTGACATTTTGACGGAGGTGGAAAGCAGTACTAGCGATGCTGGCGTGTCACCAGATGTAAAAGGCTGACCCACATGGTTGTGAGTCTGCTTCATTCAGAGAAAATGCCAGTTTTTAGCTCTGTCGTGCTTTCTCCTGTTTCAGTTTTTAGATAATATTCCAAACCATGTATTTTCCTCATTGTGTAGTGTTTGATACTTCACTAATTTGATGTGATTGGTACCAAGTTGGCAGCATTTCTTTAGTACACTTGAGCTGTAAACCCTCCAGTTTAGTAAGAAAAGGACATGGTATTTGTCTTGGAGGTCTGGGAACTGTAACAGTTCTGAGGGCACAGACAGCCCACCCACAAAACCAGGCTCTGGGTCTTTATCACTCTCAGCTGCTCAGGCCAGCAAAAATAATGTGGTTTGCCCTTCACATGAGGCTGTGGGTAGGGGAGCTGGAGCCTGCAGGTTCAACTCCTGGAACCATGCAAGTTTTGAAGACTAGGACACTCTTGGCCATGGCCCTTTGTCCATGCAGGAGATGGGATAAGTGGCTGAAGAGACAAACCCAGACATGATTTGGTAGAAACTTGCAGAGGCTGAAACAGCTGCACCACTGAGAACTGGATGTAAAGCAATGGTGAAGAGGTGAATTCTGCTTTGGAAATATTCATCACAAAATTGAACAGGGCGGGAGAGAATACACTAAAGAAAAGCTTGTGATCTGTGGTGGGAAGCACTTCAGCCAGTGGAGGTATAAAATCCCATCTCACTTGGCCATTAAAAGTCATGGAAATTATGTCTGTGCAATGGCTGCACAGTTTGGTGCTGCAGTGGTTTAGATATTTGGATGCTTTAGGCCATCCACTGATCTTAAACTAAAGCAAGTATTTGATCTAAATACTTACAGAGACCACTCAAGCACATATTTAATCTCACATTTGTTGAGAGCCATATTCAGCTTCTGCATGCTTCCTGAATCCAGGCCTAAAGAACTCCAAAGACAATGCCAGCTACTTATATCTGTAATAAGATCCAGAGCTGCATTAAACTAACTGACTTTTGTAATTTGTCTTATCTAATCAGAAGATCCAGTTCTGAGAAGAGCCTGCTGGGAATGTCTGGAGCTGTGTAATGGAGCTGTGTAATATAACTGTATAAGAGAAGTACCTTCTATACAAACCCTTTTTATATTTTTAGATAGAAATGTCTACTTTTTCAGCAGATCTGTGAATTGACTTAAATGAAAGAATGACTGTAGATTTGGAATGGCTAGGTTTAATTTGGAATATATTATAAGGACTAAATTTGATGCAGCAATGCTGGGGAGAGGACAAGGATTAAAATCAACAGGGACTTAACAGCGACTGTCTGTGTTTCCCAGTAAAGCTGAATTTCACCTCACCTAATGCATCATAGCTTTTGTAATGCAGAAAAATTCCTGCAAGTAGTTCAGTTTGTTAGTTTTACTTAAAAAAAAAAAAAAAACACAAACATTACTTTTTGGTTCTGACTGCTTTAATGGCTGATTGAACAATACTATCTGTATATTTGAACAGATTTTTCCTAGGATACCTGTTGCAATTCATATGATTTTCATAAATAAAAGATCAACTGGTTCACTTGACCTTTAGCACGCAGTAATGAGATGGACGGTGAAATGGTCACTATTTCAGTGTGTGGATTAGGAACCCATTTAACTTAAACCGTGTTAGAGATTGTTCCATTAACTCGAAGTAGTAAATGCATGTTTTCTCAGGATATCACATGGTTTCTATGACGGGTCTGATCTCACAGCCCTAATGTAGGCAAAGCCCATGTGGACCCGTGTGAGAGCGTTTCTCATGAAGGCTCTGCAGATGCCCTTCTGATCTCTAGAAGTAGTTATAGAAACGTGTGCGCCAAGCTTCTGTAAGTCCCACTCTGCCAAAAGTTAAGAGCCTTGTAGTCCCAGTGACTCCCATATGGTGTAAGAGACTCATGTACACATTTAAGTTTCACAAACTGTAAGAGATGTCAAGTTCTGCTTGTATGATAATCTCCATAGCAGAAGATGCAGATTATTGTAAAGGTTTCTTGTTCTGGTTTGGTTGTGGTTTTTTATTGGCATGAGTTTGGGATGACTGCATTATGCACAAATGGTAAATCTTATGCCCTGACTAAGAAATAAAGACCTTTCTGATGGTTTTGATGACTGTCCATGCAGAATACATTTACAATTTCACAACAAACTAGCAAGCAGAACGTGCTGTGGCAGTTATTGATGCCCACGAAGGAGGTTCCAGTCATGTCTTTCAAACAGAAATACACCGCTGGGTAGGTGAGGTCCTTCTATCTGCAAAAAAAACACACCTTGAAGCCTTAAAGTGAGTTGGGTACAAAGTCTGTTTATTTTAAATGAGGGACATTAAAAACAACAGTACAACTACTGCGGTAGAACAAAATTTTATAACAAGAATAATAAACCAACAGTATAACAACAACAAACTCCAACAGAACAACAATAAACAGCAAGAAACAACAACAGAACAACTGTAAAACAGCAAAACTAGACCAACTTCAGAACAATAAACTCTTAAATAAACATCAGAAAAAAACAGACAGAACAGGTTTAGTCACATCCGTGAACATTTTAGAAGGCAGAAGATGCTCTAACAGCTTAAATATGAAAATAAATTGTTATTTCATTAGAGAACATTTCAATAGCTGTAAATGTTTCCCCCTTTCAGACTGCACCCAACACCCACAGTCACAAAGCTCAGGGAGTAAAAGACCTGGCAGCGAAGCCCTCCTGGGGGTGGTGGAGACCCTATGGGCCATTCTTGGGTGACCCCTGGCTCCAGCAGCCTCTGCCCCACTCCCACTGAACAGCACCAGGGCAGAGAGCACCGCAGCTCCTGGGAGCGGGTAAATCCCAAACGGGTGGGGATGAGCCACAAGTGAGAAACAATTTGGATTTGGTGATGGGGAGGACCCCATCCGCTCTGGACTCCCCCAGTGGCTCCAGAGCACCCTGACAGGGGGAGGGGGCACCAGCAGAGAGGGGATGAGAAGGGAGGGCAGAGACTGCCAGGGCTGCATCAGAAGTTTGCACCTTAGGACACGCGGCAAAATAAAGCCAGGATGGAAACGCTGCACAGACGCCCAGAGGTTCATCAGCCTCGGCTGGGGGACTCTTCCAGCTGGAAGAGTTCCCCCTGTCCCACCCCAGGCGCTGCCACCCAGCACGGCTTCTTGCCGGCAGCAGAAACGAGGCCTTGCCCCACCACTCCGGTCCCGCCTCGGGGCTGCTCTGGACCGGAGCCCCTGCGGGTGAGGCCAGCAGCACTGGCCATTACTGATTGCAGAAATGATGGATCCGTGCCTCGTGCCGCTTGCAGGCTCTGTCCCTGGATCTTGACCGGCTGGAAGAGGCAGGGCTGGACGAACCTGGAAGCACAAATGTTGCTCAGGTCTCTGCAGCCGCACCCTGAGCTGGCACCGGGGTTACCACCATCCCTGTGCCTGGGGGAATGGCAGGTTTTGCATCCCTGGAGCCCAGTAGCTACCACCCGAGCCGGCTCCTACAGCACAGCCTGGCCCTTCCGCCATCCCCCAACCCAAGGGGACAACGCAACGCATCAGCTCCTCAAGCCTGAAGCACCAACTCCGTCCTTACCAGAGGAAGCGGCGTCTCCTGCAAGGCCTGAGGGGCGCTGGCCCCAGAAGGGCGCAGGAGTCCCTGGAAAGCAGCGCACCTCTGTGAGCCGGTCGGCAGAGGAGGCAGAGCCCGGCTGCAGGGAGCTGGCAGCACCCGCAGGAGCCGACGCATCCAGTGCATCGAGAGGGGGCAAGGAGCGGCGTTTCAGATTCCCCTGCACCCCCCAGGGCTGGGGCCTGGGGCAGCGAGTGAGGGAAGCACCTTCCCTTTGCACGGCAAAGCTCAGCCAGGTCCGGCAGCAAAGCTGCTGCCTAAACAAAGCCCTGCCCTTCACCTCCTGCAGAAGCCCCGTCCCCTCCGGCTCACCTGGCAACACGGGCGCGCTCCCGCTCCCGGGCTGGGTGACCGATGCTGTGGTCATGGACGCTGCCCGTGTGCGCCCGGTGCCTGAGGAGCCCTGGGTGATGGCTGCTGGGAGGGACTGTACCAGTCTCTAAGAGCATCAGAGCCCAGGCCCAGGAGCTTCCTCAGCCTGTGCTACACAGGCACCCGCTGCCCTGCCAGGCCAGGCCAGGCCATGGCTTTCTCCTCCTTGCCGTGCCCTTCGCGTTCCCAGTCTGCCCTTATCAGCCTTAGGTCCCAAGAGCCATTGAGGGTGCTGCCATGCTGCCTCCCTCTCCCTCTCTAGGATCTCCTCCACAATGGGGTACTCGGGATTCAGCTCAGGGAACTGCCAAGAGAGAGCAGGAGTTGCACTGAGCACGTTCTACCCCAGAGGAGGGCAAAAGAGGCTGCGAGACAGCGCCAGTGGGTGGGTCTTGCCAGGCACCAGCAGGCAGATGCTCCTCCTGCGTGGCCTTCCTTTCCCCACTGAAGGTGGTGGGCTCGGGGACTTCTCAGGCCTCTCGACAGCTGCAGGAGGAGACAAGTCAGGAGCAGCTCCCAGCAGAGGCTTTGACTGCACCAAGGGGGTTGTCCCTTCTCACTCCTCTCTGGATGCCCATCCCGGAGGGCAGAGGCAGGGACAGGGCCTTAAGCCGCGGACAAGGCTGCGATGCCCTGGGGCAGCAGCTTGGCCCCAGGAGATCCATGGGGAAGCTGTCACAGGAGCCCGCTGGGGCTCCACGGGCCAGCGGCCCCTTCCCACCACCACGGACGCTCCTTGCACGCTGCCCACCCGAACCACAAACCACACAGGGTGCCGCACGTGGCCACATCTCGCGCTGTGCCACGGGACCCTCTCCGCCATGGGCACACGGCGTTTCCTCTCCTCTCTTTCAGCTGAGGAAGTGTTGGCATGAGCTCTGCCTGGCATCGGAGCAGGCCCGCACCGGTGGCCCATCCAATCCGGCACAGAGCTGGGCCCCACCTACACTCACCTTCCTCGGTCTGCACGGCCTTGTTCACTGTCCCCGGGGTGCTCTCTCGCCATCGCCGCGATTCCCATTCCCCGTGCGAGTGGGAGAGAGCCAGTCAGGGTCAGCGCCAGGCTGGGACAGGACATGCCAGTGCCACATGGCAGCGTCACCGCTGCAGCCGTCTGAGCCCTTCAAGCTCCAGCCAGGCCTGGGGCAGGGCGGGGATGGTGCTGGTCAGTGCTGCCGTCAGCACCGCAGTGGAACAAGGCAGCGGGGATGCTGATGGACACAACAAGGGGGCTTCCCCACCGCTGGGTGACCCAGCAGCCATGTCTCACGGGCCTGGAATAGCCCAGCTCCGGTGGAGAGCAGGCCTTGGGCACCGGGTCAGCTGGGAAGGTGACTGCTTTCTTCCTGGCTGGCATTGACAAGCGGGCACTGGCTGGGTGAGCAGTATGTTACCTTCCTGTCCAACGTGGCACCTCACCGGAGGATCCTGCGCAGGACTCCAGGGGCTCCCTCACGCACATCCTCTTCTATTGGAATGTGGAGACCAGGAGGAACTAATTTGGTTCAGGGGAGCACAGCCTCCCTTTCTCTGGCTCACCACAGAGTAAATCCCATTCCCCAGGTGCTGGCTGCCGAGCCCGGAGCCTCTCTTACTTCAATGCTGCTCAGCTCCCCTCAGCCATGTCCATGGAGGGCAAAGTCTGAGCACCCCAAACTGAATTCACTCTGGGAGCAAGCAGCCTCCAGGCTCTGAGGCAAGTGGCCTCAGAGCAAACCCTTCCCTACTCAGCCACCCTGGGTAAAACCTTTCCCTGCACAGCTGCAGAGCTCCATCAGCCACGACTACATCCCACTCTCACATCTGCAAGCCCAGCCCAGGACATGAGCAGTGTTTTAGTACAGCTCAGGAGGTGCTGAGGAGACCCACATCAAAGTGGGAACACCGGGCTCCCAGCCGTGCTGCTGCCTCCAGCCGAAAAGGTGCCAGCACAGCAAAGAGATTTTGTCCTTTCCGTTCCCCTGGATGTGTCCCCCCTGCAGACTCCCAGGGCAGAGCGGGGACAGGAAAAGAGCTCTGTGCTGGGCCGTGGGCTGCGGAGCGGTGCTGGGCGTTGGGACCATGGGGAGCCCCTGTGCACCTGACTGTCCCGGCGTACCGGCAGCAAAGCGGCCTCAGGGCTCTGCACGGTCCCGGTGGTGCACGGTCTGCGGTGGAGCTCTGCTGGGGCACAATGGTCACAGCACTGTTAGTGGCAGGAAGATCCCATCCCATCCTCCCCCCAAGCTCACCAGAGGCCGTAGCGGATGGGTGCTCTCAGCATAGATGGTACCTGCGGTTGGGCCACTGTAGATGCCATTTTGCCATGCAGGTGACACGAAGACAGGAGCGATGCGGGCTGGCAGGGTCACATCGCACACCAGGACCCCCGCTCCCAGCAGCGATCCCCGCAGCACCACGCAGGGCAGCGCCAAGGCCAGCAGTATGGGCCCGGCACTGCCATCGCTAGGCCACCCGTGTCCTTCTCCCACCCTTGCCCCCTAACACCCTCAGCCCTGACAACCTATGTCCCTGTGCCACCTGCCTCTGTCTCCCACCCGTGTCCCTCTGCCGCCTTCACCCCTGACAACCAGGGTCCCTGTGCCCCCCGTGCCCCTGACAAGGAGTGTCCTACTGCCACCCGTCCCTCATCCCACCTGCTTCCCTGGGCCACCCGTATCCTTATCCCACCCCCATCCTACTCCCTCGCTCCCCCCAGGCAGTTGCTGTGGGTCGGGGTGCTCCCACCGCGGCGGATCACAGTGGCCGGTCCGCTGTTAATGGCCATATTCGCCCGCAGGCGCCAGACCACCTGATCCCCAGGGGTTGGAACTGGGGCGATCAGGCTGGGGCTGGGGCTGTACGGTGCTGCCGCGGTGATGGAGAGCGCTTGGGGGGCAGCCACAGCGATGGGGAGCGCAGGGGCAGAAGGCGCCTGGCGGGCGGGCGGGACCGCAGCGCCCAGCGCCGCTCCCAGCAGCGATCCCTGCAGCAGGCTGGTGACCGTCACCAACAGCGCCAAGGGCAGCGCCACGGACCCGGCAGCGCCATCGCTCTCGGTCTCTGGAGCAACGGCCGCCGGTCCGGAACGCGCTGCGGGAGCCGCGCCCCGGGACCTCGACAGTCGCCGCGTTCTAGAGCTCG